CGCAAAACAAGTTTACAATAACTGCAAACGGCACAAAACAAGTTTACCATCATGTTTACCATCGCAAAACAAGTTTACCATCATGTTTACAATAACTGAAAACGGCAAACAAACAAGTCTACCACCACTTGGTAAACAAGTCTACCACCACTTGGAAATTAAGTCTACCACAAAACAACCATCAAGTCTACCAACACGTTTACCATCACAAAACAAGTCTACCACCAAACCAGCATGTTTACAATAACTGAAAACGGAAAAAATAAAAATCTAGTTACCTTTTCGCGGTTCACTTTCTCAATAGTCACCGGATTTTGTCGCCTACTCGTCGTTGTTGTCCTCACCGGATCTCTGTTAACTGAAAGGAAAAAAAATTATCCGTTGAGAAACTTGACAATAAGTCTACCAAAACAACAAATTCGACCAATAACAAGCTAATAAGTCTACCAATTAAAAGTCTACCATCAAATAATTTAATCCGATTACCTTTACCAAGCACTTTCTCTAACGACACCCGATTCCGTCGCCTTCTACTCCTTGTCCTCGCCGGAATTCTGCTAAATAAAAACAAAATTCCTGTTATAAACTTTGACAATAATCTAGATCTACAAATCTGAAACCAAGGTTACCATCAAGAAAAACCATAGATCTACAAATGGAGACAAATCAACGGTGAAGGATCTTACTATTCACTCGCTGTGAAACAAAGCAGCCGTGAAACAAAGCAGCCCTCAAATGGCGCCGCCGTCTGTTGTAAGTAGACGCTGCCGTAAGAGAAGATGTAGACGCCGCCGTCGCAGGTCCGGGAAGCTCGGGAGCTCTACCTTTGCTCCACCGTTGGTGCTCTTCACCGCCGTAATCGGAGATTTTGGGTTTCTTCAAATCGGGCACCCTCGGTGCTCTTCCCTCCCCTCGCGAGCTGATTCTTTTTTTTTTTTTAGGTTTTGTTGTTTTTCTATTTTTTTTTTCCAAAAATCTTTTTTTTATCAATTTTATTATTTTTGATCATTTTTTATCAAAATGGCATTTTCGTTATTATATCTAAAATTTTGATTTTGATGTCTTTGCACAACTTTGTAAAGTTATTTTAGTTAGTCAGTTGTAGGAGTATGTTATTCTAGTCAATACCGATTTTAAAAGGTTATTCTAGGTAATAACTATTTTATTTATTATAATACAATAATTGTATCACTATTGTTTGTTATAAGTTATTACAAAGATTTATTGATTAAGAAAACATATTATACCTATTACTTATAAAAATTGAAACTATTTGAAGGCAAAAACATTCACATAGGATTTGAAACAATTAATACATAATAAGAATGAAGCTAAATATGATGACAAAAGTTATTTATTTGGTTCGAAATATTATGTTTATTGTATATTTTATATTTTTATGTAAAAGTATTATTCTATATTTTTATGTCAATATTATGTTTACTAAGTAGAATATGATTAATAGTTTTACACATTTAGGTGATTTTTTGGTATATTTAGTTACAAGTGTTGAATCAGACAAAATACTTTTAAAATTAGACAAATATAGATTCTTTTAAAGAGAAACAGAAAATTATTATTTGAACAACTTTATGTCATTTTTGTAGAATTTACAAAGGCGTATATATTTTTGTTACAAAAATTTGATCTAAACTATATCTTGACATGATAAGATGCAATCTCGAATAGATCTTGATATATCCAAAACTCGTGTATTTCAATGGTTTTCGTATTGAAAGGTTGATCGACTTTTTTTTGTTGATCTTGTTTCCAAACAGAAGTATAAAGGGTTAATTTGCTATATGACCATATTTGTGAAACAATCATACAATATAGCTATCCTATTCAAACAATTGGAGAAATAACTATCACCTCTAGAGAAATTATACTACAGCCCTTGCATTTTAACCGTGAATCGATACTGTTAATATTTGCGTGTGACGTCAGTATATCACTTAGGGTGGGGGTTCACACGGACAATATGATTGCAGCTGCTTACTATATAGACACATGGACACACGGGTTTGATGAGAAGATTTACCCTGTCCTATTTGTTAGAGGAGGCAAAATTGGCGGGGGGTTTTCAACTGATCTACTCCCACTATACAAAAGTATATAATATAGTTTTGACAACCTCGGTTCAAGACTATACTATACAAAAGTATATAGTATAGCTTTGACATGCCTTAATACAACTTCTATTTGATATTTGACAGCGTCCAGTTTCGAAGATTGGGCGACGATGCACAAGATGCCGTAAACAAGGACATAACCGTGCGTCCTGCCGTAACCCGATATGAATGGCGCCAATTGACATGGCATATGTAGGTGGTCCAGCACTATCATTTTTGGGACGGGCAGAATAATGTAATCCCACATCATGTGCAGATGTGAAGACTGTAGCTGGCAAGAGGTGGCGTCAATGATGTTCTAAATACACTAGTATATGGATACTATGTAGTACAAGTTCATGACACTATTTTGAGAAACATATTATTTCTTAAACGAACAGTATAGCTTTGCCGAAATATTGCGAAGGTGGTCGAAAAATATATGAAAAATAGTTAAGTAACTGTTATATCAGTAATAACTTATTTACCGATAACGTCATCAAATATTTTCACTCCATTTTTTACCTAAAGATTTTTTGGTATATATTATAGAATATATAAGGAATATCATAGCCACCATATTGGTATGGTTATTTTCCATATTATAGATGTTTATATGGCTATATGAGCCAATTTCCCAAATATAAATACTTGAACTCATTTTAATTAATATTTTAGCTAACAATACATATATTAAGGAAATTAATTCACATTTAAAAATACTATTTAATAAATAAGTTAAAATAGTAAATAAAATAAAAATAGAAGGGAAATGGTCAAAAAGTGAAAATATTCTCACTTAATTCAAATAGTAAATAATAAGTAAACAAAAATTAATGCTTTAACTTAAAAATTGTTAGCCATTAGTAAAAGATTTTCGAACTTCTTTGACTAAAATACTTTTTAATTAATGTTAGATAAAAATAATTTGAAAATGTGTATAAATATAAAAAAAACAAAAAAAAATTAGGACAAAAAACCCTTGAACATCAATTAAAATGAAACAGAATGAGTATATAGTACTTTAGTAAGATATTTTACAAAGTTTAATAAAATATTTCTATATAAGAGGTTATTTTTATTGAGAACTTCATATAAGTTCTAAATTTTTGTTTTATTTGAATACTTAGATATTGTTACAATCTAAAAATAAATTATCGATAACATTTTAAAATTAAATATGTTTGTGTGATTTATCTATCAGTAACACAAGTTGTTGCCAGTAATTAAATTTAAAAGAAAAAAAATTCAGACACTTGAAAAATTTGAATACAATTTCCTATATAAATTGATTAATTATTTTCAAATATTCTTTTAAATAATAAGTAAAAAATAGATAATACATATCATAAATTGTTATTTTATGATAAATTCATAATAAAACACATTTTAGTCAAAAAATTAAAATGATCATAAATCTTTTAATTAAAATTTAACTATAGAGAAAACACTAAATAAAACTTTATATAACCAAACATTATATTAAAAAAATTACTATAATATTTTAACTAATGTAAAAATTATTTAATTAAAATATATATAAAATAATTTATAATATATACTCGAGCGTAGCGCGAATGAAAAATGTAGTTTTATTATACATAGAATACTAAATAGTATACAAAATTACAAACCATCTCTTTCTCTCATTATGTTGACTCATGCCCGGTCTAATTAAAATAGTGGTCCAAAACTATAAAAGAAGAAGATGTAAACTTTATTTGGTCATTTTAAATTTGTGGCTCATTTTTTAAATTTTTTCAAAATTTGTGACCCATATTTTAGCCTAATTTTTTTCAAAAATATTGGTGGCTCTAAGCGCTGGCTTAGCCCGCCTACCCTCTGGGCCGGCCGTGACTTAAAACATTTTATTATAATAGAATACTAAATAGTATACAAAATGACAAACAATCTCTTTCTCTCACTATGTTGACTTAAAACATTTTATTATTCAATCTGATAATATTGATACTTCAAAGTTGATATAAATATGGAATACATTGTTGATGTATATTGAGTTACACACAAAAGTCCATAAAATATAAATCAATATTAGGAAGAAATGAGACAAAAGTAAAAGTAAAAACCAAGGACACCAACCACAATCTTTATCATAGAATCCTGTTGACGCTGCAGCCAACTGAGAGACAAAAGAATTGATAAACCTAGGTAACACTTCACCTTTTGTAAGCAACCCAAACTCAAGCTAGGCACAAATCGAACTCTACCAGCAAAACTGCAAATGCAAAAAAAGCAAAAAGACAGGAGGTTTAACTTAAAACTAAAAAATATAAAAACATGAAAAACAGTAGTAAGTTAAAAATGTAAAGGTTCGATATCTTATTCAATTAATAGACCTTTTTATTATCCAAATATAAAGTTAACACTTCCAAGCAAAATGATTGCAATTTATACTTTACCAAAAAAAAGTCTGATTGAAAAAACAAATACATACTTTAATTAATTGAAATATTTTGAAGATTCTTTTGTGGGTAAACTTATTACTACGGGTGACTATGATAATGCGTTGAGTTTTGATTAGTGACAAGAAAGGGTTTCACATGATACTACCACGGCCCAAGCCCAGGCCAACATATAACTTCTTGAGTATCGACGGCGACAACGAAGCTCGATTTAAGAAGCTTTACGCCCCCCTATAGTTCTCCTTTCTGCTCGAATCCACCCAAACGAGATTTTCCCCTAATTGCACTTGAAAAGCTAAACATATTAATTGGCGACTAAATTACCCAAATCGCGTTTAGAAAATAGTAATTGCCCGAGAACCAGTTTAACCCAAACCCAGAGAGAGAACGGAGACGTCGCCGGCTTGGTTAGCGTGGTCGGGTTCTAGCTCAGCTAAGAGACCTGCTCGTGTGAGGCGAAATCGAGATGGATGAAGTAGCCGTTGTTCTGAGGTAAGAAAGTCGAATCGTGTACGAAATTTAAACTTTGAATTCATAACTTGTGTTTTTTGGATAGTGTTCTACCCTTTTCTCGATTCTTAGCTCGGAGGATCAGTTTTAGTCAGAGTAGTTGAAATGGCTATACTATGTCGACTTATGCTTTCGCTGTTCTTCGTGTGACACTGACTTATCATCTTATTCCGTTTTCTGAGCGGTAATTGAGCCTCTACTGAAAAAAGAATATCACCTCTGTTTGACTTTGGTTTCACTTTGTTACTAATTTGTTTTGTTGGATTCAGACAGATCTTTTTTTAGTGTCTTATGGGTTTCTTGTTTTGTTCCAGGGTCCAAATATAGGTCGACGGTAACAAATTCTTGATTTTTGTAAAGAGATGGACAAAATCAGTGGATTATCCGATGAATTGCTGGTTAAAATATTATCCTTTCTTCCAACAAAAGTTGCTGTCTCCACTTGTATTCTGTCGAAACAATGGGAGTTTCTTTCGATGTGGTCGCCAAAACTAGAGTACAATGAAAATGATATCAAGGGTCCTGACTCTTCGGTCCTTAGGTTTCATGATTTTGTTGTCAAGAATCTGCCGTTACATAGAGCTCCGGTTGTAGAAAGCTTGATCCTAACATCTCGTTATCATGTGTATTTTCAACCTGAGAGTATCAAACTATGGGTTGGAATTGTGGTTTCTCGCTGTGTGCGTGAGCTAAGTATCAATGTTTGTTGTCTTAGTGACGCACCAATGCCAAGTAGTTTGTATACATGCAGTTCGCTCATGACTCTGAAACTTGAAGGCGGGCATATACTTGTGGATGTTCCTTGAACGGTTCATCTGCCTTCCTTGAAAACCTTGCATCTTCGATTTGTGACATACTTTAATGAAGATTCTCTTCGACTGCTTCTATCCTATTGCCCTGTTCTGCAAGATTTGTGTATAGAACGGAGAGAAGACGACAATGTGGGCAAGATAGTTGTTAACATCCCTTCTTTGCAACGTCTATCCTTGCACGTGATTGATGTACTTTCTGATGGGTATGTGATACATTCGAAGTTTTGAAGCCGCCCATTCTCTACACTTATAAGAGAAGGGCCAAAGGAGTACGGGCTTGAAGAACAGATGGGCCTCGTGAGTGTAGCGCTGACACAAAAGAAGAACGACGAGGCGAGATTGTGTGGGAAGGAAGACACGTGGAGAAGTAAGGTTGGGGGAATAAAGACTGCACACGAGACGTGAGCAAAAGGGGATCTCTTGGGATCTGTAAATAGGGAGGGTTTGTTATTTGCTTTGGCATCACGGAGTTGATCATTTTGGGGGGGAGAGGAGAGAGAGGGTCTTTCCTATTGATTCTCTGTTCTTGTAAACGCTTCTTGGATCGATTCCAATAAAAGTACTTGTTATTAATTCAGTGATTACATTTGTTTTGATCACTACACGTAACAAACTTGGTATCAGAGCAAGACGATCTCCGGGAAATATGCCTCCGCGAGCCCAAAAAAACGACGAACGAACGGAAATGGAGAAGCTGTTCGACCAACTCCAGGTGATGACGGTGTCCCTCGAGAAGGTGAACGTGTTGGAAGCAAAGGTGACTGCGTTGGAGGAACTCACAAAGCTTCCCTCGCAGATCATCTATCTCCAGCAGAAGATCGAAGCAATGGACCACGGAAAAGGGAAAGACACGGAGGCCTCCGTGGAAAACCCGAGTCCGATGAGCGCATCGTCGAGTGAACCACGATCAGGAGAAGAACAGGTGGTTCCGATGGGGACGGGAATGCCGATCAGTCAACACGGAGAAGCGTTGACCGTGAGGGACGACTCATTGGCAAAGAAAATGGCCATTCTCGAGTTTGACGGGAGCAACGCAGAGGCGTGGGTTTTACGGGTGGAGCAGTACTTCGAGTTGAGTAGCTTCACCGAGGAAGAGAAACTGAAGGCCGTGCGGATGAGCTTTGTGGGTGATGCGCTCTCCTGGTACCGTTGGGCGCGAGAGCGTGATCCCTTTTCGAGCTGGGAGCAGATGAAGCTACGGGTGCTGAGTCATCACTCGACGACGCCCGATTCTACCCCCGAGGCACGTCTACTAAAGATGAAACAGGTGGGATCCGTCCGTGAATACTGCCGGGAGTTCATCGCTTTAGCATCTAACGCCCCAGAGCTGTCGGAACAAGTTTTGGAAATGGCGTTTATGAACGGACTTGATTCGAAGATCCGATTACATGTAAGGATACTCTGACCTCATAATCTGGATACGATGATGAGTCTGGCACAGATGGTCGAAGACTGGGAGGAGTACGGAAACCCTGCGTCGCCCCTGAGCTCCAGTAACGGAGGAGGAGATTCACGATCCACAGGAGGAAGAAACGGGCCATCGGGAAACAAATGGGGGCAAGCAACGGGTAATGGGCCAAATTTTAAGCCCAAGCCCAACTACCAGAGCTTCAATAAGTCGACGCCACATAAGGGAGGAGGAGGAAATAACCTAAAGGGGCACGACCGACTGAAACCACCGTTTCGACGACTGACACCGGCGGAGATGGCAGAACGGCGAGCAAAGGGGTTGTGCTTCCGTTGTGATGAGAAATACGGCTACAACCACCGGTGCGCTCAAGCGAAGCTGCGAGTAATGGTGGTTTACGATGATGGGCGAGAAGAAGAATGGGTGGAGGATTCTGAAGGGCAAAACGAGGAGGGAGCCGAGTTGGTGACTGAGCTAGCTGAGCTATCCCTCAATTCCATGGCCGGAATCTCATCGCCACGAACCATTAAGCTGATGGGGACTATTCAGGGGTTGTTCGTCGTGGTGCTGATCGACAGTGGAGCCTCGCACAACTTCCTGAGCGACACCGTGGTCAAGCAGCTGGGGATACCGACGGAGGCGACAGGGAGGTACGGCGTCCTTACCGGCACCGGTATCACGGTGAAGGGAACCGGCCTTTGCACCAATGTCGAGCTGGAAATGCAAGGGTACCAGATGGTTGCGAATTTCTTTCCATTGGGGCTAGGGGGGGCTGATGTAATCCTCGGAGTTCAGTGGTTGGAGACCTTGGGGGATACGCAGAACAACTGGAAGTTGCAGACAATGAGCTTTCAGGAAGAGGGCAAAACGATTAAGCTACAGGGTGACCCTAGTATATGTAGCTCTTCGGTTGCTCTCAAAGCACTCTGGAAGGCGTGGGAAAGACAAGGGGAGGGCATGGTAGTGGAGTTTTGTGGCCTTCAAGCAGAGGAGAGGGAGACCGTGAATGTTCCTGAGGAACTTGCTCAGGTGCTCGAGGACTATAAAGAAGTCTTCGCGGAGCCTCAGGGATTACCCCCATCGTGTGGAAGAGAGCACAGCATCGTGTTGACGGCGGGTGTCGATCCTATCAGCGTACGACCGTTTCGCTATCCTCAGGTGCAGAAGGAGGAAATCGAGAAACAAGTCAAAGCGATGCTCATAGCGGGAATTATTCAACCCAGTGGGAGCCCGTATTTGAGCCCTGTACTTTTGGTGAAGAAAAAAGATGGGAGTTGGCGTTTTTGCGTGGATTATAGGGCCCTCAACAAATCCACAATCCCACACAGCTATCCCATTCCCATGATTGACCAGCTTTTAGACGAGTTGCAAGGTTCGCAGGTCTATTCAAAGTTGGATCTTCGCTCAGGGTACCATCAAATTTTGGTAAAGGTCGAGGATGTGGAAAAAACGGCTTTTCGAACCCACGATGGGCATTATGAATTCCTAGTAATGCCCTTCGGACTCTCCAATGCTCCGGCTACGTTTCAGGCGTTGATGAATGATATCTTTCGGCCCTATCTTCGCCGGTTCGTGTTGGTGTTCTTTGACGACATCCTCGTGTACAGTCGATCGGGGAAGGAGCACAAGGAGCATATGTGTTTGGTGCTCCAAGTTCTTGCGGAGCAGCAACTCTATGCAAACAGGAAGAAGTGTCAATTTGGGAGTGAACAGATAATGTACTTGGGGCACGTGATTTCTGCGGAGGGGGTCGCTGCTGATGCAGAAAAGATTCAGGCGATGGTTGACTGGCCTCAACCCCGAAATGTGAAGGAGTTGCGGGGGTTCCTTGGCTTAACGGGGTACTATCGAAAGTTCGTACGAGGCTATGGAGATATTGCCAAACCACTGACATTGATGCTACGGAAGGATCAGTATAAGTGGAGTACAGAGGCAACTGAAGCCTTCTCGCAGCTCAAGAAGGCTATGACGACAGTCCCGGTCTTAGCATTACCAGACTTCAGTGCTCAATTCGTGGTGGAGTCGGATGCTTCCGGAACAGGGTTGGGGGCTGTGTTGATGCAAAACCAAAGACCCATAGCCTACTTCAGTCAAGGGCTTACCGATAGACAGAGACTCAAGTCAGTGTATGAACGCGAGCTGATGGCCATTGTGCTGGCGATACAGAAGTGGCGTCATTACTTACTTGGCAGAAAATTCGTGGTAAGGACAGATCAAAAGAGCCTGAAGTTCCTCTTGGAGCAGAGGGAGGTTAATCTGGAGTATCAGAAGTGGCTCACCAAGATTTTGGGCTTTGACTTCGACATCCACTACAAACCCGGGCTTGAGAATAAGGCAGCAGATGCCCTGTCCCGCAAGAACTGGGGTCCAGAACTCATTGCTATGTCACTTCCAGCAGCGATGCAATTGGAGGAGATCTGCAGCGAAGTGGATAGAGACCCTGAACTGCGTAAGATTATGGAAGAGATACAGCAGGACTCGTCCACACATCCCGACTACTCTCTCGTGCAAGGGAGGTTGCTAAGGCAAGGGCGTCTGGTAATACCTCGTGGATCAGGGTTGATTGGGTTGATTATGGCAGAATGGCATGATGGGAAGATGGGGGGACACGGCGGGGTCCTTAAGACACAGAAGAGGATCAGTGAGATGTTCTACTGGCCAGGAATGACGACTGATATCAGGCGGTATGTCGCGGCATGTCCCACGTGTCAGAGACAAAAGTATTCCACGCTTGGACCCAACGGATTGCTGCAGCCTCTCCTAATCCCGACGAGTATTTGGGAGGATGTCTCGATGGATTTCGTGGAAGGCTTGCCAAGATCAGAGGGGTATAACGCTGTGTTGGTAGTGGTTGACAGGCTTACCAAATACGCTCACTTCATCGGGCTGAAGCACCTTTTCACAGCGACAGAGGTGGCAGTAATCTTTGTTCAAGAGGTTATCAAGCTCCACGGGTTTCCCAAAACTATCGTCTCCGACAGAGATAAGGTGTTTACTAGCCATTTCTGGAGGGAGCTCTTCCGTTTGTCTGGAACCACGCTGTGTCTAAGCACTGCCTACCACCCTCAATCAGACGGACAGACAGAGGTTACCAACAGGAGGCTAGAGACTTATCTGCGTTGCTTCGCGGGAGATAAGCCGAAGACATGGGCAAAGTTCTTTCCTTGGGCGGAGCTCTGCTACAACACGTCCTACCACTCTGCCATTAAGATGACGCCTTTCAAGGCTGTGTATGGGAGGGATCCGCCAACCTTGCTACAGTATGAATCCGGTTCCACTAACAATGCTGACCTGGAGGGGCAATTGGTGGACCGAGACAATACACTGGCCATCTTGAGAGAGCACATCCACAAAGCTCAACAAGTGATGAAAAATAGAGCTGATGAGCACCGCAGAGATGTGGAATTTGCAGTAGGGGATTGGGTTTACCTCAAAATCAGACCGTACAGGCAGCAGACACTCGCTCGCAGGGCCAATGAAAAGCTAGCTGCAAGGTTCTACGGTCTGTATGAAGTGGAGAGTAGAGTGGGTCGTGTTGCATACAAGCTTAAGTTACCTGACGAGGCCAAGATACACCCCACTTTTCACGTTTCTCAGCTGAAGAAGGCAGTGGGTAATGATCTGTTGGCTATGCCCCTTCCTCTGCAGCTGACAGAGGAAAGAGTTCTGAAGGGAGCACCGGAAGCAATCCTGGACTCACGCATCAATCCGAAGTCGGGTCAGGAAGAGCTGTTGGTTCAGTGGAAGGCACTTCCGGCTTATGAGAATTCGTGGGAGTGGAAGTCGAGTTTGCAGAAGCTGTTTCCTACCTTCGACCTTGAGGACAAGGTCGGTTTCAAAGGGGAGGGAAATGATACATTCGAAGTTCTGAAGTCGCCCATTCTCTACACTTATAAGAGAAGGGCCAAAGGAGTACGAGCTTGAAGAACAGATGGGCCTCGTGAGTGTAGCGCTGACACAAAAGAAGAACGACGAGGCGAGATTGTGTGGGAAGGAAGACACGTGGAGAAGTAAGGTTGGGGGAATAAAGACTGCACACGAGACGTGAGCAAAAGGGGATCTCTTGGGATCTGTAACTAGGGGGGGTTTGTTATTTGCTTTGGCATCACGGAGTTGATCATTTTGAGGGGGGAGAGGAGAGAGAGGGTCTTTCCTATTGATTCTCTGTTCTTGTAAACGCTTCTTGGATCGATTCCAATAAAAGTAATTGTTATTAATTCAGTGATTACATTTGTTTTGATCACTACACGTAACAGTATGTAATAGTTACCCCTTCTTTAAAGTATTTCAGATTTGAGGATTTGACAGAACGGTTCTCCTATGTGGTTGAGCATATGCCAATGCTGGAAGAGGCAGATATTATTGTTGTGCACGATGTTGAGAAGTTTCTCGATTCAATTACATCCGTCAAACGTCTTTCATTACGTGTAATATTTACCCTTGAAGAAGAGGTAACATGTATTATCTGTCAACTTTAAGTTTTCAATCCCATTGTATCACTAAAGAGCGCTAAGTTCAGATTTTCTTGAGTTTAAATTTTTTGTTATTACAATGGTGTCGTGTGTGCAGTATGCGTACCGTCCTGGTATTGTCTACAATCAGCTTGAACATTTGAAGTTATGCATATACAGCGAGGATTGGTCAAAGTTAGCTGTCTGGATGCTCAGAAATTCTCCTAAACTGCGAGTCCTCAATCTATATGTCGATGTAAGTTTCTTCATTTACTGTTTTTAGCTAAAAGCATTTTATGATGTAATATTGACTCTCTCTCTCTCTATTTTTTATTTTTTTTTATTTTTTTTTTATCACAGCCTTCACCACAGTTTTATCATGAGTATCATCCGATTAAGTGGAAGAATAGTCGGAGATCTGTTCCTGAATGTTTTCGGAAGAGCCTCGAATATTTGGAGTTTGTTGGGTACATGGGAACGCAAGAAGAGAGAGATTTCTTGAGTTTCTTCTTCAAACACGCTTGTTGCTTGAAGTCTACATCAATCATTGATTTTGCATCACTAGGTATTTAACTAAAACTTGAAATACGAGTTGTGGTATTTGATTATGAGTTTTGCGTTTGTTTTGTTGTCCAACAGAAGTTAGTAATTTGACTGGATGTAGAAACTTGCTTTCGAAACGAAACTAGTACCTTTTTTTCTTCTTATCATGTGGTCAATCTTGTGGTCTCTTCTAACCTTTAATTATTGATTGATATATGTGAGTGACTTGTGACTCAATTTTCATATAGTTTTATTTAGAGAAGAAAACTCTGTTGTGGAACATACGTGACACGTCTCCTAAACTACAGGTTATGATCCTTTTGGAGTTCGGAGGGTTAATCCAGTATAAGAGCCAGAGTGGCTACTGAATGGGAGCTGTGTGGTTACCTAAATCGGAATGTAAGTGGTGAATGGTAATGTGATTTCTGAACGATGCAGTTCATAGACTTGTTGGGTGCGGATCCTTGTTTGTAGACTGATCTAGAATGTCCGAGTGTTTAAACATCTTATCTTTGTCAAATTTGTAGCATTCGATTCTAAATTTTAGGTTTGTTTTGTTGTGTGAGAACTAAGAGGATTCACCTCATATACGCTTCTCTCTTAAAATTAAATCTCAAATATTCCTTTCATAAATTAATTTTGTTTTGATTTATCTTTAATTCAAAAACAAAGAAATTAGTGATACGTATGCCCTGCAAGCCATCCGCCAATCATTTTAAAATCAAATTTCAAATATTCTTTTTATAAAATAAATTTTGTTTTGATTTATTTATAATTTAAAAAATAAATAAATTAGTGATATCTATATTATTCAGATATATTCGGATCTTTTCATAAAGCTATATATAATATTATGATTTCCATATTTTCTTAGATGTTAGGAAGATAACTCTAACCTCGTTTGTAATATAAAAACTCTTTTCACGATTTAATAGAGCACAATACATTCTCCTCACTGTAACATGGTATCATAGTCAAATCCTAATCGATTCATCTTTCTCTAAAATTTTTAGCGATCTCCGCAAATTCTTTTATCGTTATTCCTCCATTCATAATAAATTTCAACTAAGGTACACCGACCTTCGGTACTTCACAAACAGCAACCTCCAGGACTCCATCTATCACAAACTCACCTTACTACTAACATCTATTGGATCATCCTGTCACGTTATTACATCAATCCTTCTCAATTCGGACAACTACAAGCGATGGGCAAAGTTGGCAAAGAACAACTTGAGAGTCAAACAAAAGCTCGGTTTCATAGATCGAACTTTGAAACGACCACCTCTGAATTCACCGGAGTACATAGTGGGCTACGGCGAACTCAATGCTCATCAGTTGGCTATATGCTAGTATAGAACCCAAAATTTACCAATCCATATCAGTTGTGGACAGCGCTCTTGTGGGAGAACTTGAAAGCTCATTCTTCGCAGGAAACGCACCAAGAGTACATCAACTCAAGGTAGACCATCCGCCATCCGCCAATCCTCTTAAAATCAAATTTTAAATATTCTTTTTATAAAATAAATTTTGTTTTGATTTATTTTTAGTTCAAAAAAATAAATAAATTAATGATACGTATGTGTTGCAAGCCATCCGAGAATCCTCTATCAATACAAGAGGTGCAACAAGGCTTATAGGACCAAAATTCGGTAAGTGTTATCGTTTCCTCTGGAGTAGAGTGGGTTCTAATTTAAAGTATTTTTGTGTAAAAAATGGTATTAGGAAATAGTTAATAATGATTTGGTGAAAGTTGTAAAAGGAGGAGAGAGACTCCAAATACTATCTTTCAGATCTTGTAATTTGTTATTTTTTATCAATATAATATAATTTCCCTTTCAAGTTTCTTGTTCTTTTGCAAATCGATATCATTATGTATCCATGTGGTATTAGAGCACTCGATTTTGGGATCATCATGGCACAAAGAAAGGCGGAAATGGAGAAAGCAATCGCGAGCTTATATGAGGATGTCAATCGCGTCTTAACCTTGGAGTCCACGGTGCTGGAGATCAAACAGCAGCACAGTGTTCTTGACGATCTGAAAGCTCATTTCCCCAACTTGCAGAGGAGAAGAAGCAACTTTGACTCGATGAGGCAGCAGCATCGTAAGATGGAGAAATCACCAGCTTCAGGGGAAACCACTATCAAACCGGTTACCCCTGTTGACGTTCTCACTGAAGAAGCGCAGCGAAAGGCGATATATATGACGTTCACAATTAACTGTGGAAACCATCAGACACCACGATGGAACCATCGTTGCGAAAACTTATGTTTCCACTTTTTGACGCTGAAAGCACGGATAGCTGGGTTCTCCGAGTCGATCAATACTTCGAGATTAACGAGCTCACGGAGGAAGGCAAGCTTAGTGCTGTACAGATGTGCTTCGATGATGAGGCTCTGTTATGGTACATGTGAGAACGTGACTGGCATCCTTTCACAAGTTAGAGGCATATGAAGGAAAGGATTTTCGTGCAGTTTTCCACGACGGGCAAACATCTCCTAACACTCAAACAGGAAGGGTCGATGAGGTAATACAGTAAGGACTTCATCGCTCTGGCTACCAACACCCAGAGTTGTCAGATGTGGTTTTAGGAATTCGCTTTCATGATTGGTCTCAAACCAAATATTTGTGCCCGGGTTAAGAAGTTTGAGCTCAAAAACTTGAAGAAAATGATGAGTACAACAAAGATGGTGGAAGATGTTACGTGTAATAATGGAAACTTTTGTATATGAGACGAAATGAAACAAGTTCTTTTTTATTGATTGATCGATTCACGTGATTACGGAGAAAGAGAACCAAACATAGAGAAAGACGTTCTCTCTATTTCCACAATGTGATCAAATCAATTATATCCTCACACTTTCCTCACCCTCTCTTATTTAACGAATCCCGAGTGGATCCTCTCTAACGGACTCCGCGTCACATTATTCGTTGCGCTTGTGACAGCCCCACGTGTCTTCACACCTCACAAATATCTACAATAAGCTTCTAGAACGTCACTTCTTAAGGCCCATCTCTTGCGCATAAGACAGCCTTGCTGCTGCTCCTCATACTAAGCCCGTGTGGACTTGGACCTTCTCTTGTAGGTGTAGAGGATCGGAGGTCTCTGATCTGCGTATGTATCAATACTCCCGCCTGCAAAATTGACCTTGTCCTCAAGGTCGAAATTTGGAAATGTCTTCTGCAAACTTCTCGACCATTCCCACGAACAGTCATACTCTGGTAACTCCTTCCAACGACCAGAAAATCCTCCTTTCCTGAAGTTGCGTTGACGCGCCTGTCTAAGATCAGCTCCGGTTCTGCTTGAAGAATCCCTTCTTCCAAGAGTTGTACAGGAATGGGTTCTGGAACCAGAGAATCACCGATGGCTTTCTTCAGCTGAGAAACATGTAACGTAGAGTGTATCTTAGATTCCTGGGGTAACTTGAGTCTTGCCACCGATCCGACCCTTGCTTCCACCTCATAGAGACCATAGTACCTTGCTGCAAGCTTTTCATTACTACTCCTGGCCAAAGTTTGTTGACAGTAAGGCCGAATCTTGAGAAAAACCTTCTCTTCCACTAACCCTGGGCATCCGACCCGGACCCGCTGGAACCGAACCGACCCGACCCAAAAAATGTAGTTCGGTTCGGGTTCGGTTATTATCAAATAACCGATTGGATATTGATTGATTTTGGTTCGGTTCTCGGTTCGGTTCGAGTTTTACCCGAGAACCGATCGGTTACCCGATTAACCCGAATCAAATTTATGATTTTATACAAATATTTATAATTTCGTACCAACATTTCATCCAATCTATGTTTATGTAATTAATACTAAAGGATATATGATAAATCAAATCTATGTGATCGAACCGAATGTTTATCAATTTGTGATTCTTTCATTTGTACTTTCACACTTTTTTGCTCTCTCTCTAGAGCACGAGGCTGAAATGCCACTTTTTAGAAAAAACTGATCTCTTATGCCATTCATCAATCTAATGCCACCCAATCAATTAAAGGAGAAAGAAAATTACAATATTATCTTTAATGAATTAACTGAGTAAAATTAAAAGTAAAAATCAATTAGTGATTAGTAAAAAAGTAAAAATCAAAAAAATAAAAATAAAAATTAAAAAACCAAAATTGCTCATCCTTTTCCTCTCTCTACCCCGAGCTTATTTTCCCGACGAGCCGCCAACCCCTCTCCCTCGATCTCCCATCTCTGATATTCTCTCACCGGAGTTTTCTCTCTTTTTGCTCTCATCGGAGCCGACATCCTTTTCGACCGATCCAGATTTCGAGTCTTTCTCCTCTTCTGCAATTGCTCCTCTTCTGCCATTGAAAGTTCATTTTTAAGCTAATTATTCTTTTTTAATTAGGTAAAATTAGGGATTTAGATATGAAAATATACGAATCTGGGTTGGTAACAATGTATTCTGGATAGATTAAGCCATAGGTTCGGTAATTTGTGAGAAGAATATGGTTATGTTAATCAGATTCATATGTAGAATTTAAGCTCGAAGTTCCTCGAGTTCAATCAATCTGCAATTATATGACAACTGGTACAACTGAGAGCGAAATGGTACAACTAAGAGACTGAGTTCAACTGGTACAACTGAGAGATTTAGTTCAATTGGTACAACTAAGACAATTAGTTCAACTGGTACAACTGTGGTAGTTTGTATAATTACTGATCGATTATTTTCATTATATTTTCAGGAGAGCATGAACATCAACCACACAAACATACATTTGACTATGGAGATTTAAGAAATCAGATTATTTCAGTGTTAGAGTATACAAAAAGATGGATATATGCTCTCGGGCCGTTGAGAGGCACCCCACGCTTAATAGCATCTGTTTTGTAGCGCAGTTTGATTTGTGTGTGTGTGTGTGTGTATGTGTGTGTGTTTTGTAATTCTCGGTTTTGTACAACCATGTTAGACTATGTACAACTATGAATCTTTATGTGTTTGAGTTTGGCGAATTTGTATGACCAGGTTCAACTAGGTACAAGTATGAACAATTATGAGTTTCATTTTATCAAATTCGCACTTCTAGGTTTAACTCGGTACAACTATTAAAGTTTATGTGTTTCTCATTCTCTGATTTGCACTACCAAGTACAACTGAGTACACGTATGAACATTTACATATTTGTCAACCTTGAATTCGCACTTCCTGGTTCAACTGGGTATAACTATTAACGATTATGTGTTTGTAATTCTCTGATTTGCACTTCTAGGTTCATCTGGATACAACTATTAACATTTGTGTGTTTATCTTTCTCGAAATCGCACCACCATGTGCAACTGGGTAAAATTATTAATAATTTTGTGTTTTACTTGAAATTGCACCAACAGGTGCAACTGGGTGCAACTGGGTACAACTAATATCAACTTTGGAAGTGAACTAAACAATTATTAAAGCTACAAGTGATGTGAATCAACCAATTAAGACCTATAAACACATGTTCAACTATAAGAAAACAATTATTAATATAAAGAACATTAATTTTTTTATTTTGATACAAAATCATGTTTTCACATAAACCACCTCTTACAAT